AAAGCTTTCGGGGGGGGGGGACAGATGCCAGATACCGTTGACAACCATTTGACCTTATCGTTACACTCGTGGTCTGGGTGCTTGGATTTTGGTCGCATGACATGTACAACGATGCAGATAGTTAGTTCTCTGCAAGGGCTCGCGACCGGTCAAATCCACGTTGGTTCAAGTAGGTACAGTAATCAATCCAAAACGGAAAACTTTCTAGGCCTTTTCAAGACGCCTGCACAGTTTGTGGATTTCCACTTGCCGCTAGTGATGAAAACTTATCGCGCATGAATTATTGCGTGGTAAAATGCTGTAAACATGGTATCAGATCCCTATTTGGAACGGATGTCTTTCAAGAAATTGTACGTCGTGCTCATAGTATTAGATCCGTATAGGAATGTTTGGATTAGACACAACGAGAGAAAGCCACAAAATAACAATTATCGGTTGACGACGTTTCGACCCTCTTAGAAAGCCTTTTTCAGATCAATTGACAACTGAACATTAGACAAGAGAGACAAGAGAGTCGAAAATTCGTCAACGGCAAATTGTTGCTTTTGATGTTTTTCTCTTATTGTGGCCAATCCAAACATTCTTATAGGAATCTAGGTGTCAAACTTACCCTAATTAACTGCGGGGGGTTGAAATCTCATATCGCATCACCGAATGATTCTTGTGAAAATCTCAATCTGTTACAATTCACTGTCAGTGCAGCATGGCCAGTAGTGCAAGTGATACATAACCTTTCCATCTTCGCAATGTGCTCTTTCAACTAAAGTACATAATGCTATTTTGTCGATGTATGTCTGCTTTTTATTACACTCAAAGTGATTTACAGCCGCATAGTCAGTGACATACTGTAGGGAGTAAAGTACTGCTTCTGAAAAGAGTAAGATTATAAGCACTCAAAAACACAGAGATGAGAACAGTGTTCCCCAAATTCGCAGTCCTGGGAAATAACGAAGACCGAAAGATAGATATTCGACATCTAGGAACAGAAACCTGATAAGGGTAACTGCTAGCCTGAAAATGGGATAGACAAGAAAAGGTCAATAGGACGGGAACCACTGAAACGTGTTCGAGATAGCAGAAACCAAAATGGTTACGATAGGGAAGACATAACGAAACAACTGTCCTGCAATGGGAAAATGGCCGCAGGTTTTAACTTAGCGATGGTTTGACGAACAGCTGGATAGCCCTTTATTGAACGCAGTCGAGCGGAATACCAAGCCTTTTCCCATGCGTGACTGCAGTATTCGAGTTTCGGGGGAAATTCAGCTTTAAATAATAGGAAGTGCTGGGTGTAAAAAAACGCTTGCGTGAAGTAGATGACCGACTTCGCGCGCAGTTCAGGAGAAGCGGTAAGATAAGCGCCAATGGCATTGCGATCGTGAATGATATTGATAGTGATCTAACGGGTTGAGTGATAAGAAAGGGAACAATGGAGAGTGGCATCAGTGGCAAAGGAGTGAATAGGATTTTAGGCTTTCGAAAAAAAGATCGTTGATAATTAGAATAAACAGGGCAGGTGAAATTATGGAACCTTGTGGAACACCGGCGGGAAATGATCGAGATAGGATAGCATCGACTCGGACGGAGATGATTAACTTGTTGAGACGGTGTCATCCGAACGTGGGTAACTTCGACAACAAACCCTCATGCCAAATGCGTCCGAAGGCGCAATCCATATTGACAGTCAATCAACAAACCTTCGTGTGAGAGAAACCTACTCAGCTGGCCGTAGATAATGGTTTCTAACAATTTCGAAATTACAAACGTAAGAGTGATGGGACGATAGTTGTTGTTGTCTGAAGGGTCAACACGCTTGGGACTAGAAACATTAATGACACTTATCCATGGAGTAGGGAAAGACTTAAGATCCAATGAAGAACAGAAAAGGTGGTGTAGAGCAGAAGCTCACACCGGGGCACACATTTTTAGGACGATAGGTGGAACATCCTCCGGGTCGGGTGGTTTACAAACATTCAAACCACGAAGAGTATGGCGGACCTTTCCGGTTGTTATTCTAGGTAGAACTGAGTGACTGGATTGATGGGAGGAGAGTTGAACAATAGGGTGGGTAGATAAGGTGGATTTTGAGGAGAACTAGGAAGCGAAGAGCTGGCTTTTTCGCGGGGTTCACAAACAACAGTACTAGAGGAAATGCAAATGGGAAAATGTAAGAAGTAAACAAATTGCCTAAAGCTGATCTAGCACAGGGTCAGAATGTTCGGTTACCAGTGGCGGACGAAGCCCAACACACAGCTTTGTGGCAAATTAAACGTTCCTTAGCTCTCTGCATAACGAGTGAGCACTTGTTTCTGGTTTGCACGATTGCAAGATTCTGGGTTGGGTGACTGTTTTCAAAGACGTAATGCTGAGGTTTCAAAATGTACGGCACGGTCTCAAGCATGATTAGGTTACTCAGAAGATTGTGGTTTTGGGGGGTTGGGGTAGTATAGAATCTAAAGATATATCCCTCAAAGAAGTTTGAGGGATTTTGAAACAGAAGTAGAAAAATCATGTTTGAAACAGCAATCCTTCCAAGGATAGAAAGACAGAACGTCACGAAAACCTTCCCAGCTGGCTGAATAACAACGTTAAATGGTGAGTCTGAAGTTAAGTGGTGAAATGGGGCTAGAGAGAAATGAAAGATAAAGGAAATGAAGTCCGATAAACCTAATGCGGAAAAGGAGAGCGATAAACAGTACAAAAATATTGATTTAAACAAAGGAACCAAAGTTTTAGCCGCTTACGCTGGAAGTCACGGTTTGAGAAATCAAAGTGCGAAAGTCTGGAAAAGGCCACAGAATGATGGATATAGGCGCAGACATAAGCTTTAAGAAAAAACAAAGGAATGGACGTGTTAATTAGGGAACTGAAGATGAGTAGTATCTGACGAGGGAGAGACTTGGGTATCAGTCAAAATAAAGCCAAGAAGGAAGAAGATTAAAGAAAGCGGTACATAGAATTAATATTCCGATTTAAACTATGAATGTTAGTCAGAGCAATGGAGTGTTGTGAGTTTCTGGATAGATTGCATATTCTGTGATTTATGTGAGAGAAAACTGGCAACCCAAAGCTGACATTTGAAGTGGTAAACCGCATGAGGCCTCAATATGTTGAGTGTGGTAGTAGCTGGATGAGGGCACGGCTGTCTGAGAAATATTCTCCTTTATGACTCTATACCGTAAGGAATCAGCACGTTGTCATATGGCCCCTCACGTCGAAGGTAAACTAGCATTTATGCAAATGTATGTGGCGCAATTTTAAACATCGCAATGTGCTTTCCTTCGCAAACTTCGGGATAGAAACAGACAAATTTGATTTTCTGGAAGATTTCTCTTCCAAAAACGGTGTCCATGACCAACTTCGGTGCATTATCACTCTGGCAAGTCACATAGCCGATCCTCTAAGCGGGCTATACCAAAAACTGTTTAAAGATACCGTGCTTCCTCAGGTGTGGAAAACGGTGTCACTTCACCAATTTACCAAGGTGGCTGCCGTAGTGACCCAGCCAACTACCGACCCGTCACGCTCCTTCCAGTGTTGTCCGAAGTCATGGAATCTATTGTNCTGGAGAAAAATAGCTTACCATCCCCAGTTCAGCACGGGTTTCGAAAAAATCGTTCATGTGCAACTAATCTGATTTTGGTTCGGGATGATTGGACTCATGCTGTAGATCAAGGCAAAGGAGTTGATGTCATTTACCTGGACTTTTCCAAAGCCTTTGATAGGGTAAATCATCAAATACTGATGAGAATGCTATATAACTATGGAATTCGTGGACTCGTACTTGGCTGGATCGAGGAGTTTCT